TTTGACTACTCTCAATTAACACGGACACCCTTTGCCAACTTTGACAACGATGCTTCCTCTTGCTACGATTGCATACTCACTTCTCTCTCAAGCCTTTCAGGTAGAGGTTTTGGGATCCAYCGGGATGTGATTGGCGTGCACGCAAACACACTCCAACGTGCCCACTACAAGTTGAAAGTTTCTAACCATATCACCAACTCATCTTATCAGCACTGTCCACGCTTTCCAATTCACGGCACTGGCCAGGGTTCTGCCAATAGTCCCGTTATTTGGGCTCTCCTGTCAAGCAAACTGTTTGCGGCACACAATGCCGACTCCTTTGGGATGCCCTTCTCCAGTCCAGACCGCACTCTCTCCTTTTTGATGTCCATTATTGGCTTTGTTGATGACTCAACTGTCATCACTGCCTCTCCCCCAGACGCTTCCCTTGCTGATCTCCTGGAAAGACTTTGATCTGAGACGCAACTATGGCATGATCTTCTTTGGTGTTCCAGAGGGAAACTGGAGCTTCCAAAATGTGGATTCCATCTTATGTACTACAACTTCCAATATCTCTCTGAGTCTCCATCAGATATGCTTCCCCGCATACATCACGCTACCGGAGATATCTTCCTCACTGATCCCACAGCGGCACCCGTCCGCCTCAAAGAACATTTTCACTCCCCGCAAAAATCTGGGCCACCACAAGTCACCATGTGGATCATGCACAGCTCAGTTGAATGCACTCCTTTCCAAAGCAGATTTGGTTTGCTCTGCCATACAGCAGTGCTTACCCAACCAACCCACTGCCCGAATGCTTTATGAAACAGTGTTGCGTCCTGCCATAGAATATCCTTTGCCCCAGTCTTTCTTGTCTTCTGCTCAACTGCTTCTGTTGGAACGGAAATATTTTCCGCGTATTTTCTCACTCTGTGGTTATGCATGCACTACTGCCAGAGCAATTCTCTTTGCACCAGCATCGGTAGGAGGAGCAGGATTCATCCAATTGGAAGTTATCACTGGCCGCAGTTACATCATTCATTTCTTGAAGCACTGGAGATCCCACAACATTGCAGGAAAGCTCCTTTGGTCTGTCCTGTGGTGGTTCCAATTATTTTCTGGCATCTCCCAACCAGTCCTTGAAAGTCCCTCGATTGCACTTCCATATGTTCCCAGCAACTTCATCTGTGGTGTTCGACAGTATCTGACTACTATACAGGGCACAATTGCAGTCAATAACACTGGATCCATACCACCGCTCCGCCGTGGCAATTTTACAATTATGGACCTCGCCCTTGCCAATATCCGTGTGACAGTTCTCAAAATTCCTAAAGGCCATGTGCACTCCCTCCACTGGATTAATTCAATCCGAATGTATCTCAAGGTTCAATGGCTCAGCAAATTGTGTCTCCCTGGCACAAGTAAGTTGTCTCCCAGTATTTTCACCCACCGGTGCCTGACACAATACCATCCTTCCATTGCCTATCCATATCAACCCAAGCCAGAAAAGAAAAGCTGGCTGACCTTTGACAAATKTCTTCRAAGCATCTCCTCCRGCCCTGTCTCTAACAGGATTTTGGCATCTGCTTACCGGCTCGGCAATTGGCTCCCACCTCAAGCTTATCACGGCGTGTGGAAGGCCTATCTGTCCACAGATCACCGCATATGGACATCACCAAGTCCAGGCACCTGGGAGTCCCATCCAGTGGTTCTCACCAATATAGGACCACCGCGATCATCACAGGTCTCTGCTAAACTCCCTCCTGGCAACCCGATCCCTGTTCTCACAGAAGACCAAGACAGATGGTTTCCAATATGATCCAACCAGTGTCCGCCCTGTTCCAACTGTCAGCAAACCCCCTAATACTGCTCCCAGTATATGGCCGGGCCTCTTACGCCGACTAGTTTCTTGGCAACACCAGCTCCTGCGGTCAGCAAAATTTGAAACTGATTTTCCATCAACAATGGATATATTTGCTTCTGGCATCCCTCTCCTCATGGTTTCCAATGGATCTGGCAAAGATGGTTGTATGTCCTTTGGCTGGTCCCTAGCCACTACAGCTAGGGACAGAATTGCCCACACCAATGGCACATGCTTTGGCAATGAAAGCTCTCTTTGAGCCGAAGCTACAGGCTTATTATCAGCAAGTCTCTTTGTCACTACGCTAGTTTCACACCTACGCCACTGCGCCTCCGAGAACAGTGCCAATGACAATAGTTCCTCTGGCTCATCATCCTCTTCTTMTACTTTTTGCCCTACACGGGTTACCTTTGTCAGTGATAGCAAAGCACTCATTCTTTGACTCCAATCCAGATGTGAATATACTKAAGTATACGCCAATGCTACCCTAGCACCAGAATTTGACTTGATTGAACAGATTTTTCAGACCMTTCAGATTCCTTTCCTCACATACTCCTTTTCKTGGGTGAAAGGCCATCAGGATGACAACACCGACTTTGATCACCTCCCTCTGACAGCCCAACTGAATGTTGAAGCTGATGGATACGCTGGCGACTTTCTAGCCCAGATGACTACGCCAAATCTTATTACACCAGTGCTACCTTGTTCCTGCCCAGCAGTTCTTCAGATTCAGTCATGCTCCATCACCAACCAATATAAGAGAGCTCTCACCAATTCTTGTTTAATACCCCAATATTATACATATTTGAGGGATAAGAACCAGTGGCCCCGACGCGTCATTGCTGATATTGCCTGGAAGTCTCTGAGCATTGCCATCCACCGTATCTCAGGGAATTGCTGATATTGCCTGGAAGTCTCTGAGCATTGCCATCCACCGTATCTCCAGGGACGTCTTAGTCACTAAATGTTGCAACAATATTCTGCCCACCGCCATCATTCTCAAACGGTGGAACTACTAACAGCAGGATACCTGTTGTCTTTGCCAGTTGCCTGAAGATTCTGAACATCTCTTTTGCTGTTCCCACCCATCACATATCAGCTGGCGGCGACAGACTATCACCTCTTTAAGGCAACACATGTCCACACTTGGCTTCCGACCACTTGTCATTGATACTCTTGCTACATGTCTTACCAAATGGCTCGACACTGGCACCGTTTCTCCAGAGAAATATCCTACATCCCTTCATCCMGTTCTACATTTTCAGAGCAAGATTGGTTGGCACCATTTGTTTGCTGGTTACATTTCGCTCCAGTGGTTTACTGATCTTGATCTTCATTCCAGCTCTTACTCCCCGCTTGTATTAGGGGGTTATCTTGTGGAGTTATTTCTTACCTCCTATATATCCTTATGGGAACAGAGAAATAAGGATCTCCATGGCCATATGCTTTCACAGAAACAAATAAATTATTGAAGGCGTGTGGTGCAGAAAGTTAGGGCCTTATTCGAGTTGAAGTCTCAAACCTGTCCTTCCCACGCTTACTTATTTCCAGCAGATATGGAATCATTCTAATTACAGACTCCTACCTCTATGCTCTCTTATTATCATCATCGAGCCTACAAGAAACCAATTCTGGCCAGTGTCACCCAAGCTACAACTGCTTCAGTCTCCAACACCCGCCCTATCACTCAGTATTTTCAACCATTGATTCATAGTAAACAACCACCGGAGAGCGTCACACAAGATGGGCTAGTCTTTGATGCATACTCCAAGAAGCGAAGGCACAAATCCCCTGCGTCACCAACAAATTCTTTGGTCTCTGCCGCACCCAACCGTACCATACAAACTACTATGAACCAATACTTCACTTAAACATGTCCTCTGAGTCTAGCCCTGGGCCTTCAATGGCCTATCAGTGTACATAAAACCTGTTTGCGCCTCCATAAAACCTCCTCGGAGGGATGCACCGCCCCTCAGAGCAGCTAGAAGCATTCTTTCTCACAAAAGCAATGGTTCTAGCCTTCCTAGTGCGTCTTCTAGTTCACGAGGTTAAATATAATGTTAAGATTTTTTTTTTCATCACCAGCTGGGTATGTTTCATCATCCTAAGTTTCCTTGTATAATTTCCAAATTTTTCCACAAGCTCTACGGAAACTTTGAAAGCTTCAGCAGCATTCTTGTAGGCACCCTTAGCAAGGAGTTTCACATTCTGTTTCTGGTGTGGAACAGTCTGTGTAGAATAGCCTGTCTTGGATTGTTAGTCGAAACTGCATCTTGAGGGAGGAGGAGTTACAATAGCAGGAGCCAGCAACTTGCTTGGTTCAAGGAGATCTCTTGCATCTGTTACTGTAGCCATCCTGTTTGTTGGTTTGTCTTTGTTTCATAAAGGAGCAGCATTCAAAAAAGTGAGGGAATGAAAGAATATAAAAAGCATCAAGAGGAATAGCAGAAGCAAAGAGACAATCCATTACTACTAGAAGTATCAGCAAGTTGATTGTCATTGGCGCTTCCCCCCCCCTCCAAGCACTGGTGAGTTAATGGATCCCCTCTCAGTGGATGGTGACTAGATGTGGCAGTGCTTCCCCCCTGAGTGACTTGATGCGCAAAGAAGAAGGCTTGAACAGCAAGGAAGCTGGTCTTAGTCAGTAGAATGAAAAATGAGAATAGCAAGGAAAAGAGGAAATCAGGAGGTGTAGTGAAATAAAGAGTGACATTATTGCTTGAAAATAATGTGGGGGACATGTTTGCACTATACACGCAGCACTTTTTTTTCTTAGCATCCTCTCTCCAGCTCAAAAATTTAAAAAAAATATGAAAACTGCATGTGCAGAAGTACGTGCCTGAGCATTATTTGGCTCCTCTAGTGACCCACTATGACTACATAAGAACATTCCCTACAAATAAGATAGAATATCATGATAAAGCTTTAAAATCTTGGCTTTCTATCTACTGGTCCAGTCTTTAAATGACCAGTAGAACCCAACTGACAGTAAAATCACATTCATATGTCAAAACAGGTGCTTTGTAAGTAACTATTGCCAGTACAGCAGGCACTTTCACTTTACGTAATCTTCCTAACCGTATATATCTACAATAGATCTGTTAAACAAAGAAAGAAGCAGTCAAGTCGTCTAAATACTGAACTTAATCCAACCCACGAGGTGCAAACTGGACCATTATTTAGGAATGGAGGTAGTTCTTACTACTCATAGGTACTTGTTCTTCTTCACTCCTACCATCCAATAGGGAGTAGGCAGACTCTTGAAAACGGTCTCAATGATTGAGTCCTACCGGTAGAATAATTCTTGCTTCGAAGTTCAGAGTTTAAGACCTCAAATTAAAGTTCTGTGCCCTCGTGCACATTACAGAACTCTCTGCAATAGTGTTAGTACTTAGTACAGTGTGCAGAGTAGCTACTTGCACTTCCTTTTGAAAGTGCTGCAGGAATGACTGAATGGCTTGATACATTGTTGACACCGTGACTGTTCTTATTGAAGAATGATGAGAAAAGCGGGGTTGGGACTACGCATTCTTCTTACATTTGTACCTCAGCGGAAAGATCTTGAAGCCATCCAGTCGTTTCCGTATTCAGTTGTTATGTTATGCTATGTGGTGGTGGCGGTAGTGGTAGTGATGAAAGGTACTTCTATATTTGGACTCTTCATATTGCAGCAAGTGTGACAAGAAGTATTACTACGGATCATCTTCCCTGTTCGGAGCGTACACTAGTATTTAAAATTGTTGATTCTGTCGGAATCCACAGCAAGTTCGAATCTCTAGAGGAACACCTTTGTTTAATAGCACGAGCTCAGCTGAGAATACCCGTTGTCAAAGACGGGGTATTCTGGTTCTTTCGCCTGTTCCAGAATCTTCTGGATCTCGCTGCCATCGGGAGGGACGCTAGCTCCGCGAATCATAACGGCGGCACTTGCGAGGCTGACGCCCCATCTCATCCCTTCTTCGATGGCCTCCGTAGGCCACGCACCGTCTCCGCCATTCATACCATCCATTCCCTCTCGTTCGCCCGGTTTTGTTTCCGTCGTTTCTTCTCGTCTCCCCAGTTTCCACGACCAGAGGCCAAACAGAAAGCCGGCGGTGAAGGAATCCCCCGCTCCGGTGGGGTCGATGGAATTCATAACGATCGGTTTTTGTTTGCTGAGAATCCTTTTGTGCTGTAGCGCAACCGAACCTTTTTCTCCCCTGGTAATTATTGTCTTGCTGCTTCGATCGAGCCCACCAAAGTAATCCGCCCATTCCAGGTGCTCGTGCTCGTAACCTATCCTCTTTCCGCCTTTTGCACAACGGATGATACTTCTCGCCTCCAGATCGTTCATGAGGACGAAGTCAAGGAGGGGAAAAAGGTCGCTAAGGCCACCATCCCATTCTTTCGTCGCATCGTGCTGGGTAACGAGTGAAATTGTTGTATTCTTGTCGGGGAACATCCTCTTTCTCATGTTTCGGACCGCCTCTAACTTTTGTTTCAGCTTACCGTTCCAGAATCCAGGAATATTGTAGTACCCGGCGATGTGAAGATGGAGATGCGTAGGAGTCGATCCTATTTCCTCTACATCAAGGTCGTCTGCAGAGAAATTTCCGACGACCCCCTGGTGTGTCATGAACGATCGTTCCCCACCAGAAACGATTGCTATACAATGACCTGTCGTAGAAGCATCACCCTCCCTCCTACGATTATCGATAGGGATTTCGTGGCTTTTCGCGTGGTCCATCAGTATCTGCCCGTATTGGTCGTCGGGATTCAATACGGTGTGGAGAACGACCGGTGGTTTCGGTTCGTCCGTGAAGTTTCGAATCAGGGCTTTCAGATGGGTTGCGGTATTCACGGAAGAACCGCCAGCATAACACTTGACGGGTTCTCCCAAACGGGAATCTCCCCCTGATTCGGGCCATTCTCCGTCTAAAAACGAAAAGAAGTCAACGTATGCATCACCTACAACGTGAAAGGTAACCTCGGCGGTTGTCGAGTTTAAGTCCTTTTGCCACGAAGTTGTCCTAGTTAGTGGCTTTCCGTCCTCGCAATGTGCTGCTGAACCTGACATCATATCATCCATGTTGATATTCATTGCATTGGTCCCGGTCGATATTTGTGATTTCCTCCAATCGAAACAAATCGGATATGATCGCGATGTCGGCAGTCGAAAGTATTTCCCGGTTTTAGTTGAACACGACACTAGAAAGGATAATGGAAGCGCCCTTATCCACCCAAGCATTACCTCTCACTTTCTTTGAACCCTGATAGTGGAAAAATCGTTGTCAAAGTCTGTTGATCTCAGTCTATTCTCTTAACTGAGGTTTTTTTGAGACACTCGCCGTCCTCAATCTCGGTTATCGGCGAATGAATGGAGGGATCGATCAATCATTCATCACGTTTTATTACATTCGATGTGTGATGAATGATGAACGATGATGATGATGCAATCGACATCGCTACCGTACGAATATCTGTAGTACTTCTGGTACGAGGCACAAGTATGTAGAGTAACTGTGGCGTCGCACGGTCCGCGCGTGTACCATAAATGTAACCAGAATGTGTACTCTGTTGAGCTCCGTGTTATTTGTGTGGGAAAAACATAGTGACATCACTGAGATCTCGAGCTAAAGCAAGATTAAGCTCTCGAGCTTGTTGAGGATACTTGTAGCGCTTGGACCGATGAGATGCCACAGTTATTTATGTAATCGTTTGAGTAGCAACGAAATTACATGTAACCACGCAGCGCAAGGTTACTAAACAGCCAGCAAATGAACTACAAGCACTGCCTCCTCTGATATAGGGGAATGGGCTCTTTTCCCTCCCCAGTCCCTCACTGATACAGAGGACGCTCGCTGATACAATACAGAGGAGCAAGCCGCTGATATTATACGCTGATACGATACGCTGATACGATACGGAGGAGCAAGTTGATGATACAATACAGAGGAGCCAGTGCTGATATGATACGGAAGATGCTGATACTATACGGAGGACACTGATACGAGTCACTGATACAGAGGACACTGATATGAGTTGCTGATACAGAGGAGCCGCTGATACGATACGGATGGTGGTGTTTTGCTTGTTTTTTTGCTTGTTTTCCCCTGCAAATCAATATTTCTACGGTGTTTTCTACATGAGTTTGTACTGGAGTAGCAATCAAGATCAGTTTTTCAACTGAGAACTGCTCTCATTTTTTTGTACTCCTCGTACAAGATACTGTGTACAATTACTGATATTACGTATTTACAGTAGTGAAGACAGTTTTTTAGTGTGTACCTGTTGAGGTGCATGCGCCTGGTTACAAGCGCACAAGGGAACCAGTGCGCCTGGTTACATGTGGTTACATGCGCGCACAAGGGAACTGGTGGTGCGCCTGTTTTTGTAACCAGACCCTTTTTTTTTGTAACCAGACTAGCAGTAGTATCGTGTAAAAATATGGGCTCTCCTTAAGGAAGGGTTTGGTTACAAAATTCTGGTTACAAAATTCAGTCCGTGCGGTTTTGTAACCAGTTGGGGTGCATGTACTTAAGCAAAAAATAACTAGTGTTTGCACGAGATTACGTGTACTTAGTAGGTGTTTAAGTGTGTATGAAAGTTGAATTATATGATTAGAATTATTCGAAGATTACCAAGCGTGTTCACGAGAATTCCGAAGTTCCGATTGGAACCTCATGTAGACCTGGTAAGGATTCTACATGGAGGTTCTCTGTTCCGGACTCGTGACATCTCTATTCTTCGTGAGGTATTCTCGAATAGTATCTTAGACCTCTTACGATCATCACATGATGGATCGTATGATCCGTANGATTAGAATTATTCGAAGATTACCAAGCGTGTTCACGAGAATTCCGAAGTTCCGATTGGAACCTCATGTAGACCTGGTAAGGATTCTACATGGAGGTTCTCTGTTCCGGACTCGTGACATCTCTATTCTTCGTGAGGTATTCTCGAATAGTATCTTAGACCTCTTACGATCATCGACATGATGGATCGTATGATCCGTATATAAGAATAGTATATTATGATATGTAGGTAGGAATGGTATATCCATCCATTCCGAGGAAGCATCGTATTGTACGTATGCTTCCTTTCCAGTACGTACGTATCCTTTCAACACAGTACGTACGTATCCTTTCAATACAGTACGTACGTATCCTTTCAATACAGTACGTACGTATCCTTTCAATACAGTACGTACGTATCCGTTGCAGTGTTTGTGCACGCGATTTGCTCAACAAATCATGTACCAGTTTAGTAACCAAGGGCACGTGGTTACATGTAATTTTGATGCTACTCAACGGTTACAATTACAACTAATTTAAGTTTTCGAATTTTTCATCGGGAGAATGAAAAAATAAAAAATAGTAGTAAAGTACAGTAGCAGGATACATCTCCTACGGAACTGTATGGTACATACGTACCAAATGCAGACAGATCTGACTGACACGTGTACATTAACTCTATTACTGTAAGCAATTGGTTGCGGCCGCCGCCGTTGTTTTTTTTGGAAGGATGAGGCCAGAAAAACTTACTACGGTGCAAAAACTAGGTTATTGCTACTAGTAGAATGACTTGTTGTCACAACAATGACTGAATGCTTAAGTTTAAAATGAATAATTTATTTTTGGTCAAGGTACTAACTTATGTGCAAAAAATGGTATACCAGGGTTTGTACAAATCCACACTAAAAACAAGTTTCTTTTTGTTTCCATGGTAAGTCCAGGGCTGTAAGAATTCTTCAAAGTTACTGGCTACCGCACACTAAAGTTAGTGAAGTGCAGTGCAGTGCACCATAGCCAATATTAAAAAATAGACACTACTACCTACTGCTACTACTAAAAGCCAGAGCCATCACTTCTTGGAGGGGAGATGCTCATCTCCCAGGTGAACACCAACAGGTAGCACACCACCAGATGTCCTGGGATATACTGACTGGGATTACTATTTAAATTACTACAACTATTTGTACTACTAGTACTGCTGGGGGTCTGCACCAGGGTCAGGGTGGGCGTGATTGTGATTCTTTGGTGGTGCTGGGATCAGTAGGAAGGACAATCAACAACACTAGGAGCAGTAATAGTACCAGCAGGAGTGGTAGTACTCTACTACTACTAGATGCCCATGGCCAAGTTGCTGCTGGTAGTGACTTGTCACACCAGTCATGATCTTTGTGGGGTGATATATTTCCTTAGAGTATGAATCAAATACTACTACTGCMCTATCTTGTACTATGATGACACCACGACATTGCTAATAGTATTGGTACTACTAGATGGAAGATGGAGAAGTGCTGGTAGTGCTGAGTGATGCTAGTAGTAGTAGTAGTAGTAGTAGTAGTAGGATTCTTTGAATTGTTGGCAGTGGTGCATGAGAGCTGGAAAGCCCCATTCTGAATTGCCAGTGGGAGCAATCACTCCCTCATCAACTAGATGCTGGCATTCCCKTTTGAAGACATCTCTGTGTCTGTAGGGAACTGGATATGGTCTTATATAAACTGGTTTGGCATCATCCTCAAGATCGATGTGGATCTTTTCATGTGGATAGCAACCTAGTTTGCCATCAAACAACTCCCTGTGTTTGGCTAACATCTCCTTGAATGCTAGTCTTTCTGAACTGTTCATATGGTCCTGATGGTTTGCAACCTCTTCTGGAGTAACTCATTGGTATTTTGCATTGAGTATTTGATTCGGTTTTGTACTTTCAGTACTGGTTCCGGCAGTGCCACTCGGGCCTGCTAAATAACTGTCCAAACCAACTGCATGTCTGCAATCTTGTGGTTGGCAGCTGCTTGGAGGGAGCARATGAAACTCAAAGAAACCTCCATCCAAGAGTTCATCGTCCTCTGCCAGCCACATAGCTTCTGCTATTTGCTGGGGATCATTAAAATGATCTGTTGGTTTCATATCAATGGTTGAGCCTAACCATCTGATAGTGCGTGTGGAGTAGAGAAGATCTATTCCTGTCAGAATTAGAAAGTCTCTTCCTAKGATCATATCGTAGTTACAAGGGGCTGAAAAGAGCCTTGCATTGATCCCTTGTGTGTATTTGCCGTTGCCAAACTCAGGGAGACAGATATTGGAAATGAAGACATACTTGGATGTATCAAAACTTCCCTGAGCCGTTGTAGTAACTGAGCTGAATTGGTCCTGGAAGGGAACTGTCCCTGGTGGGAGGCAACGCTCGTGAATAAGGCACATTGTGCTCCCACTGTCCAGGAGGACTTTAAATGTTTGCATTGTTGGGAGGCCTTGAATGGTTTTGCATACTAGGATGACTGCTGGTAGTACATCCTGCACATTTGGAGGTGTTTTCAAAGCTCGCAAGGTCGTTGCTGTTGGATTCTTAAGAGCTTCATCATTATCAAGACCATAAAGCTCAAGGCTGTCTGTTGATGATTGTGTGAATGGTGGTTGAGGCAATGCAAAGAAAGCCTCTCTCGGATGTCACCACTGTTGGTTTGGTCCTTGTCCTTGTCCCTGGAATTGAGCCGTAGATCCGGAGTTGCTGTTGGACTGTAGTGATACATGGCTTTGAGGACCACTGGAGTTAGAGCCATGATAATTCTGAGTTTGGATTGATTGAGGTTGGAAATTGCTCATGTTCCCATGTTCATCCATTGAGCATAGGTATAATCCCGGTGTGAACCTCTTACTGATTGCTTTTGAATTTCCCTGTTCTCTCTGGCTTCCTCTGTGATTGTTGTTGTTGCCGCGCTTCCTTTGTTTACCATTATTCCTTCCTTGTTGTCTCGTATTAGTATCTGCAGTATCATCTGCTGGTCTTTTCCTCAAACACTGCTGCTGTTCCTCATCTGCTATTCCTTTTTGGTCAGCCATGAATTCCACAATTTCTTCAATCGTGTCCCTCAAGATATTTCTCCCACACTTTTTTTAATCATTCTGCCAGGACTTAGGGAAGGATTTGAAAAGAATCTGCTTGATTTCTCTTCCTGATAAGGGCTCACAGATGCCATGAAGAATGTTGGCTTTGGAGCAACATGTCTGAATTCTATTGGTGTGTGCTTCACAGGAGATTGAATGAGGCTTCCTTACTGCKTCTGATTTCAAGTAATCAATAACGTCGTCCCTGGCACTCTTGGATGAAGCATAAAACTTCCTGAAGGTAAGGAGGGCTATTTTCCATTGTGCTTTGCTATCTCTTGTCACTTGTGCTAATCTGTTGTTGCGCCACATGTTGTTCCACTTCTGTCTGGGTCCATGTGCAAGGACCATCTGCCACTTGTTGTCTATTTGATCCTCTGCTATCTCCAAGTCTAGGATTGCATCCTCAAAGTCTTCTTGTACATGGAACAGTTCCTGTACCCCATGCTCCCCCGAGAAGGTCGTGCAGGTCTTAGATAGCTTTCTTGCTGGGTTTCGGAGATTCACTGTCAT